CGTCCTTGTTTCTGACAGACAACAAACATCAATGCAGATGGAACCCGGCGTACGAGCAAGATCCACCTGTTGACCTGCTTGCTTCAGTGTGCGAAAATTGAAGGTGGCCAAGTAGACAGGCCTTCGGGGTTTGAAAACAGATTTCGAAGTGTTAAGGGTTGTGACTAAACTCGGACGTACAGAAACCGCAGCCGAGTGTGGTGCAGGGTGAACAAAACTGTCAGTCTTAGAGCTGGGACCTGCGGAGAAAGTATTCGAATTTGGGCGGGGGGAGGGTGGAAGACGGAAAACGTGAAAGTATAGAAAGGGAGGCGTCAGCGGTGGCATATTTTCCCTTATTCGCCCTGCTGTGTGCAGCAAGTAAGGCGACCCGGCTGATGGCACCACGCGACGGCCGATGTGACATGAGTATTGTTAGTTGTGAATGTGAATGAGACAAGGTCATACAGTCGTCCACGATAGGAGTATGAAGACAGTAAGACGCTACCTCAGAAGACCAGCATGTCCATATTTATGGAAGCAGAGATGCTGTCTTCTCCCGGGGGAGGACGGGTTAAAAAAAAGGTTGGTCCTAAAAACCACATACTGCGATCACAACGGTTGACCGTGATTGTCGGCGCATTATCTGATACTTTTAAGACCAGAGTCTGCTGTGTACAGCTGCATTAGGAGTGAGACAATAATACCTTACTCCTTGCACCCTTGGGCCAGGTCAACCACCATGCAGCCAAGTGAGTCAGACTCTTGAGTCATTAGCTCCGGGAGGGGTTCTCCAAGAAAACCCAAACTACTGTGTCGCGGTAAAGAACCTAGAGTCAGAGGCTAGGGGCAGGGTCCCCGAACACAACTTTATATCTGTTATATATTTGCACTGTTTTTCAAACGTTTCTTCATTTGTTGCTAAATCACTTTCTTCCGTTTTCGGCTCTCAGTGTCAAAGTTTTGGATGAATGAAGCCTAGCTTTCGAGCCCTGTCTTTTCCATTGACATTCTGATTGTCGTTGCACTCCGACCCTTGTCGTACACAACAATTTATTCATCCAAAAAAGTTTTCTTCGAACAATCGATCGATTCTTACGTCCTGAACGATTCGATACCGACCCCAATACTCAAGACTCGGCAGATACCTGGGAGCATTGGTTTTGTACTTTCACAAACTTCCTAGAGTCGATCGGTTCTCATTCACCAGATAAACTGAAAACCTTGTTCAATTACGTCTCCCCTAGTGTTTACCGATTCATCAAAGACTGCAAAGACTATGAATCAGCCATCGAAACCTTGCGAGAAATTTACGTACAGCCGAAAAATGAAGTTTTTGCACGGCATCTTTTGAACACTTGTAAACAGGACGGAGCTCAGAACCTTGATCAGTTTGTGCAGAAGCTTCGCAGTTTATTGCCAGACTGCCGCTTTACAGCCGTCAGTGCAGAACAGCATACCGATGAAGCGTTGCGAGATGCGTTTATTAGCGGACTTTATTCCAATACTATACGCCAGAGACTGCTGGAACATAAGTCGCTGGATTTTAAAACCGCGTACGACCATGCAAAGTCCCTCGAACTAGCGCAAAAACAGTCGTTGTCGTTTTTGCCGAACACTCAACTTCCCTGTGCCACCGTATCGAACGACCCGCCAAAGTCCCCACGTTCTCAAACGTCATCGCACGAGCAGGCGACTGCTGCCAGTGTGGGGTCTTCATGTTTCTTCTGTGGCTATGCTCGTCACCCGAGATATAAATGCCCCGCTAAAGATGCGACCTGCAAAAACTGTGGGAAGAAAGGGCATTTTCAAAAGGTATGCAGATCTACTGGTCCGCGGAACACCTCATCTGTTTCAAGTGCGCTATCTTGCGTCACTGCAGCGGCTCCCGAGTGTCTAAAAGAAGCAGTCACCGATGTGAAAGCCAATGGTGTCCCGCTTCGAGCTCTTGTTGATACTGGTAGCTCAGAAAGTTTCATTTCCGAAAAGGTAGTCCGTCGTAACAAGTGGTCTGTACTACCATCGTCATCTGAGATAACTTTGGCATCTATCCAGCACAAAAGCTTTACTCTTGGACATTGCTTTTTAACGTTGCAACACAAACAAAACAAGTATCCCTCTTTCAAGTTTTCAGTATTACGTGACCTCTGTGCAGATATTTTGCTAGGACATGACTTTCTTAAGCTTCATAAGTCCCTGGAAATCTCATTCAACGGTGACAAACCTTCTTTTTCCCTTTGTGGTCTAATTGCTGCCAAAATTGAACCTCCCACTTTGTTCGAGCATATTGACCCAAGGTGTAAGCCAATCGCCATAAAGTCCAGGCGACATTCTGCAGACGACGAGGCCTTCATTGCTTCTGAAGTAAAGCGTTTACTTGACCAACACATCATTGAACCCTCGAAGTCCCCATGGAGAGCGCAAGTGCTCGTCACGACAAATGAACGACAGAAGAAGCGAATGGTGGTTGACTATAGTCAAACTATAAACCGATTTACGCAACTAGACGCTTATCCGCTCCCCAGACTTGAAGATTTAAGTACTAAAATAGCTCAATATCGTATTTTCAGCACGCTTGATCTTGAAAGTGCGTATTATCAGATACCCATTAAAGAAAGCGACAGAATCTACACGGCTTTTGAGGCTTGCAACAACCTCTATCAGTTCCGTCGAATACCTTTCGGAGTAACGAATGGGGTAGCCTGTTTTCAAAGGGTAATGGATGACATAATACGCGCCGAACAACTTACCGGGACATATGCGT